CTCTTGGTTCCAGTCACTGAACCTTAGTTTCAAGGGAGCTTTGCTTCTGAGAGGGCCCATTCACTTAGCAAAACACTTCTCTACAGTTTTAAGATGAACATTGTGGGCATCTTCTTTCCAGGCACTCTGTATGTCAGCCTCTCTGTTTTATTTTGTATGGCTCTATGATTTCTGAGAAGAAGAAAAGTCTTTATCATTGATTGTTAAACCCGAGAGTCTGGGGAACTACCGTCTACACTCGTGTATAAGCTGATTTTTTATGCAGCACATTTTTAATGCAGTTTTTGTGGTAAAATTAGGTGCCTCGGCTGATATTTGGGTCGGCTTATACTGGCGTATATATGGTTTAGTAGGCCAGATAAAAGGTAATCAAGGTCTTCCCAGGGCAAAGGTGATGTTAATTGAGGCACCCACTCCAGTAAACACACTCAATTCCACTCAGAACACACTTGGCATGCATCAGCAAGTCAAAGCTTCCCTATTTAAGTGCCCAGAGGAATCCTACCCACTCCACCAGCCAGCTTCCTGCACAAAACCACTCCGTTTTCCTTGCTCCTTGGGTTGGGAAGCCCACCACCTTGTTCTGTGCTCTGGCTTCTGATGCTGCTGCTGTTTCTCTGATGTTCTAGTGTCTTCTAGTACCGGGAGGGTCACTGTGCAGGGATCTTGGGTCTGCTGGATGAGCTCCACTCCTGCTCTTGCTGGGAGTGAGATCCCCCCTTCTGCTTCTCAGAGGGCTCATTTTATATTTAGCAGGATGGTATTTCAGGTAATCCTGTTAGCAGTTACTCAGAGATGAATCCTGTCAGTATTTTCTCTCACCTTTACCAGACCCATGAAGGAAACAGTCGTTTGATGGGCGTTAGAGACGTTGGCTGGACGAGCCACATTAAATAACTCACCGCCCTGCATTAATAAAGCAACAGGACTCACTGATTTGTTGCCTGTGACGATAGACAATGCATGTAGTAGGAACTTAAATAATATTTTGTTAACTGTTGAATAAGTGTGTCTATGTAGTTTTAGTGTTATATTGGAACTTTGGTTAAAATTGTGCCAATATGTCTGTAAAGTTCATGATCAGGGATGCATTGAGTCAGTGATGGGCTTCCAGAGGAGAGATTGCAAGTGACCTATAGTCCAATTGATCACAACTGTGGTTTATTTGGTCTCCATTGTGGGTGTGCTTGTATGTGTCACTTTCTTTCATTTGTTGCCAACATTTCAAAATAGTGAGATTTCACATAAAACCCTGGATTTTTGGCTTCTCTTGAAAAAGCAGAAGATCTGGAAGTACCGGCCTTATATTCCCTCATGGCAACCCCTCGGTGGAAGTCGGGTGGTGACTGAGACACGGGCCCCTGCTGTCCTTGGCACTCACCTTTTTCCCCCTCGCCTTGTGACCCTTCTGTGTCCAGTGGTTTCAGGGAACTATTCTTTAAATCTTACAGTGCTATTTTTAACGATCTGTCTTATGCTAGTACTGATTGTGTCACGTGGTGATGAAACCTTCATCCTTAGAACGTAAACTCTGGTGTCAGGACGTGTGGGCCTTCTGGTTCTGGATATTCTCCCTGGTGCTGCCTTCGTGCCTTAAGCAAACCAGAGAAGTCAGTCTGTGAGTCTACATTGTAACCCCGGTTTGGCAAGGTACTTGAGGAAACCCAAGATGCGTGGCTTTCAAGACATTTCTATAGCATCGCAAAGCAGCTTTACAGATGTACTCTATTTTCATCTTAGAAAAATGGTTTGCGCTTATAATGATAGTTGCTTCCTCTTATTTTTATTAATCAGTTGTCTCAGACTTCAGTGTTTAAAATGACTAGAGTAAGTCGCAGGAGTCATAGGGTTAGCAACATACTGCAGTTTAGAGCTTCATTTTTGCGAAACATCTTCTTGGCCATGCTAAATAATACGGATTCTTTGAAATCGGAGCTTACAGATATTTTCTCATAATAAATGATTGCAGAAAATGAATGGAAAGGTTCAGTTCTTCGCGAGGATATTATTCTTCATCAGGAAGGATAGGGGAAAATGAGCTCATTGTTTTTAAGAAATGTTGTTTGATGATATAGTTACAAAGAGATCATGAAAACTATGGCAGTATTAGAAGTCTCGGAAGGAGCTTCGTGCGTGTGTGTGTGTGTGTGTGTGTGTGTGTGTGGTCGGGGTGGGGGTGGGGGTGGGAAGAATGTAGAGCTCAGCTCAAGAGGAAGCCATTGAATCATTGCTGGAAAGTCTTTGGAAAGTCTTTTAGGAACACAAGCCCTATTCCCTGTCGTCCTGCACTAGCAATTCCGTGGTGGCGGTGCTGGTTGTTGGTTCCCTTGAAGTGAATCCTGACCCCCGAGGACCCGGGTGATTTGGAATGTCTACTTGGAGCATTGTAACTGTTGGTGTCATGCCATGAATATTTTCTTAACCCTTGGTATATGTTTATTTTTATATTAGGTGAGAAATTCATCCACACTTCTCTTTAGTACCTTGATCACAAGAATTTTTGGAGTTAAAAGGGCAAAGGATGAACTTTCCAAAAAAAATAGGTAAGTTACATCGAATGCTACTTTTTACAAAACACTAGCCTGCCAAAAATGATTTTCAGAATTTTGCTCACTTTCATAGATCATCAAGAGCATAAAACTAAAACTAGAAAAATGCTATAGTAATATAGCCTGTGCCGCCAAGTTCTAAGCCCATGGGCACAAATATCTACTGTTTAAAAGTGGGTCTTTCAAAGCCCCCGGAATCTAGCAAAGCAGGCAGATGTATGGCACTGTTCCTCTCTACACCAGCAAGTCCTTTCCCGTTTCCTTTCTGTCTTCGGGGATTCCTGAAATGCCTGGAATTTGTTTTTCTTGACCATGTACTGATTTGTGATAGCTACGCTTTTATAGCTGGAAGTTTTCGTCTTTACCATACACCCATCAGAACATGGACGGGTTACCTTTCCACTGGGAAAGGGAGGGGGAACGCTTACTGATCTGATTGACTCAATAAATAATGCTTTTTACATTTAGGCCTCAGATTTTATGTTTACTTTCCAAGTTAACGTAAGGAACCCTGGTGGTGCTTTGCGCCAGTCATTAGGCTGTTAACCACAAGGTCAGCAGTTCCAAGTCATCCCTTGCCTCTCCGGAGAAGATGAGACTGTCCCTTTGTTAGGAGCCCTGGAGGTGCTGTCAGGAAGCATGGGACTGCTGGCTGCCAGGTCAGGAGCGAAATCCACCAGCCCCTCTGTGGGAGAGCGTTTAGATCCTCCTCCCTGCTCCCTCACGATTTATACACTCGGGAACCCTAGACAGGCTTCGTGAGTGGGAATCAGCTAAATGGCAGCGAATTTGGGTTTGGGTTTGGGTGTTTTTTTTTGGTTCTGTTTTGTTTATATTAATGATTTGGAATCAGCTATGGATTCTCAAAGATACATTTCTCATCACGAGATTTTTAAAACCGGAGGGAAAGTGATGATAGTGTTTTGATTATAGGGCATTTAAAAATATTCAAATTTTTGTTAGTTCGATTTTAAAGAAGAGAGAAGCTTTGAGTGTTTTCTTCAACACTGAGCATTGAACGGTCGCACAGCCCGGTTGCAGTTGGTAACACTAGATGTCACTGTCGCTGCATGCTTAATTACGTTCTTCCTTTTTTTACCCCACCATCCAGCCTTGCTCTGTGTGCCTTCCCTTGAGGATCATTCTTCTCCTACCTAAGAAAGCTAATTATCACTTTTCACACGTAGACTTCAAACTGTTGTTTACTTACATATCTTTTTCCTGGGATGGAACTAAGACTTTGGAACTACAACATATTGTTAATTTTTTTTTTTTATGATACTCTGGTAGTAATAATTTTGATGAAACCTGTGGAAGTTCTGAATTGTCATTTAAATCACTGCCTGTCATCCTATCAGATTCACCAAGTATTTCAAAGGAAAGCTGCTGGCTTTTAGTGTCAACCACCCGCCCACCCCTCACCCCACCCCTGAGAATAGTCAGGAAGTACTTGAGAGTCGATTTTTTTTTTTAACTGACTTGTAGTTCTAAATTAGTAATACAATTGCTGCTCTGGAATACGATTAAAGTTTTATTTTTTATTTAGCCGGTTCTTAATGAACACTCTTTCTGTTGTGGGCTTATAATCACTAGTATTTGTCCTTAACTTTGTCTGTTTTGTTCCTAATCCTACAGTGTATTAGACTTTCAAACAGTTGGGGCGTCTCAGGAGGCCCTGTTGAAGAGTTACAGAATGAAAATGGAGCCGTGGTAGTTATAGAATTAAAGCTGGAGACGCAGCTGATTCCCAGCCGCTGCACCTCCTGCTTCACCGCTTCTCTGTCCACGGTGATGCTGAGCTTCCGGTGGGGCTTCCAGGCTAGGATGGAAAGGGAGTAACGCCGTGGCGGTCAGCAAGTCTGATGGCGTGGTTCACAGGGCTAGCAAGGGCCCTGTGACACAGGGAATGAAGTTAGCAGGCAAGTGAAGTGAATATCTGAACGTCAACTTGAACATGAGAAGCCTGCTTTTTCCTTTTTCATGTTTATGCAGTGATTCTTGGCTATGTAGATGAATTTTACTGTGTGCAGGTTCATGCAGGCTGCGTCTAAAGGAGGGGGGGAAGAATAGAGCAGCAAAACCACACGGTTCTCCTCTCGTTGCCAAAGCCCTGCCGACGAGAGCCTCGTTCAACATTCATCCCTCTTGGGTAGCATAGGGAACGAAATAGACGGCGTTCCTAGAAAGAGGGGAATGGAATATTCACACTGTTGCTTTCAGTGAAGTTGGGGAGAGACATGGATGGAACCAGAAGTTTATGTGTTTAGCGTGACAGCATTTTTGGTAAGAGTCTTTATTGTGATAGTCTGAAGATCGTGTGTCGTTCTGTGCACAAGTCTCCCGTTCTCTCTCTGACTCTTGAAGAGTCTATTTTTTGGCAACACTCAGCTTTGCTCTGCCAGAGCTTTTAGTTTTTAAATTTGCAATTATTTGTCGTGGTTTTTCCTGTTGTTGTACTTTGTTTCATTATGTCACTTTTTGGTGAAATATTGGTATGTGGGTTCCCTATCGTACTGACTCCCTGAGGGCAGGAATGTTTCTGTCTGCCCTGCGGATCCGTACTGGGCACTTTAAGAAAACTGGTAGCAGTGAAGCCACGCTGGCTGGTTCCTTAATCATTGAGTAAATGACCTTAGCTGATGGCCAACTGCATGTACTTCCAGAGCCACAGACTGTCCTGCACATCATCTTGGTCAGAAGGGGACTGGGCACCAAGAGAACATCTGCCTTTTCCATCCAGCAGGAAAAGTCCCTCTCTTGGAGTAAACAAGCTGGTTTCTAGGCATTTTGCTGCCTCTAGAGATGACCTTAATAGATTCCCGGATCCACTTTGCACTTGAGTTTCTCCATCTGTGCTCAGAGGACTATCGTAAGAACGCAACAGACTTTTGAAAGCCCAGTTTCTTTGAAAACCACCAGTCCTAGGCAGCTATGGCTCTGCCTTGCATTTCTTCTGTGCTTCTTTTACTGGGTTCATCTCATTGTCTTGCTGTGAGACCGTGCTTTGGTCCCTATGACCATGGTCCATATCTTCTCTCTCTTTGTACACCTAGGGCCTACCCTAGTTTCTGGCGTATGGTGGGCATACATAAATACTTGCTCATGCAACAAGTTAAAAAGCACAATTTGTTATCATAGGAAAGATCCGAAGTCTGGTTCCTCCTCCTGTCTTGGTTGCCATGTAGCCGTGACAACCTACTGAGAGAAGTTAATTATCTTCCCTGGCCTCAGTTTCCTCTTAACTAAAGTAAGGGATTTGGAATATACTTGAAGGTAAACTTTATGGGAAGTTCTGCTCTGCCCTCCAGGGTCACTGTGGGTCACGGTCAGCTCAGTGGTAGGAGTGGTCAGGAGTAGCATTCCGATAATTTAACAACAGATTCGCTGCCCCAATGACCATTATATATATCACAAACAAACAAGCAAACAAACAAACAACAAGCCAATCCACCGGAAGGTAGTGTATTATTTCATACAGTCAATACTTAAATAAGAGCAATAAAAGCGGTACATGTTAAAAAAGAGGAAGGAATGTAAATTTATGATTTCCATCTTGGGTGGCTACCCAGCCCTTAGAACCCTGATCACAGGTCCCATCTTAACAACTGATTTGCCAAACTCAACAAAAGAAATTTGGTATTGATTTTGCCGAACTGATGCGAACTGGCAGAATCCCACCACTGGTAGTGGTGTTAAGGCTTTACATTATTGCTATTTAAATTCTGGTTTGTTTGTTTTTTTAATAAACTGCCACCTTTCCAGGGTCTAGAGAAATTTTCTACAGCATAGTAGGGACCAGATTTCTCCTTTGCTCATCAAGAAGGGAGCAGGGGGCTCTGCCTCCTTTGTTGTAAGTCTATCGGTTGTATTCATAATGATTGAACTCTTGAACAACTTAATCGTATTTGAATTGTGTTCTTTGGATCATGAAGAAGGAGGCAATACAAGTCTCACGTGTTGGTTTTAAAAAACATTAACCCCAAACCAAACACAGTGCCAAGGAGTCCCTGCTGACTCACTGCGATTGTCCTGTGGGATTCCGAGACTGTCGCAGTTGACGGAAGTAGAAAGCCGAGTCTTTCAAACTACTGACCATGCAGATCTCAGCCCCACATGTAAACACCACACCACCCGGGTTCCTTCAATAACATGACTACATTTTACTTTCCTAAAGCTTTTTGTTTTGTGTTTTGCCACCTGGCTAACTTGAGAGAATGAGTAGCTGATTTTTTTATTTTTGGTGGAATCAGACTCGGTATAGCTCTGTGATCTGGGGCGTATGCTGAACTATCAAAGCTTCTCCATGTCCAGTGCCCAAGTAACTCACCTTGACAGTTCTACATTTCTTACTGAAGAACACAGATGCCATGCAGTCAGTCCTCTCTCTGTGTGGCACTGGAACTGGGTTCCGCAGAGTGTTCAGTGGCTGGTATTTTAGATGTGGATGGCCAGGTCTCTCTTCTGAGGCACATCTGATGGATGCACCCTCCAGCCTTCTGATACAGTGGCTGGGCTGCTCACAGAAAGGTGGGTGGTTCTGACTCTCCCAGCAGCTCTGCAGGAGAAAGACATGATGCTCTGCTTCCGTCAAGATGATAGCCGATAGGGCAGCTCTGCTCTGTCTGACAGGGTCACTGACCCAATGGGATTTACCAACAGCAACTACCCTGATTTCATTGTTGACAAGAAAAAGGAGTACACGAGGAAGGAAAAAAAAATTGCATATTGTTTAAGGGACTTTTGATTCGACTAGGAAGTCAGAAAGTGTTATCCCTGAAAACAAAAGCAATATTGCAATAATAAGTGCA